TTTTTTTTTTTAAATTCCAACTAACTTTCCAATCTCCTTCAGTTGATAACGTGCAACACCAGTGCCATTATCTTCTCTACAAAAAAGAAAAATGTATTCTGCTACATGAAGGAAATAAATAACTGATAGACAGCTCGCTAGAAGAAAAAAAAAAAAAAAAATAAAAGAGTTGAACAATCAAGGAAAGTGCATGGTTTTTAGAATATAATTTATTATCGCGTGCTCTTTAATACTAAGAAGCAATTCAACGGTGAGTTCCATCAAGAGGAAATAGATATATCTTGATCTACGCTACACTAAACAAATTGGATTAATCCACGCTGTGTGTACGCTGCTTAAAGTCGACCGAGAGTTAACCGAACTAGTCTCTTTCACGTGTACGAGAGGAACTTGAATCTCACTCTACGGCACGGCGAGGGACAAAATTTCATACAAGCCGCATGCTAGTAGCCGAACATGGCGTTCAACTATACCGAGACAGTATTAATTATTGATACAAAACACTTACGCGGGCTTTGTTACAACGAAGGAATCAATACAACCATTCTCCATATAATTATGCTCTTCTCCATATTTTATGTTAACCATAAAAGAAATCTATACTCAATCCATAGCCCTTGCTGATAAATCTTTACTCTGCAACTGAGGAGGATTTTAAATTACTTCCAGATCAATGTACCAAACGATCTTGATATATGGGTTGAAATGTATGATGCAAAGAGCGAAAACTAAAATAAAGCAAAACTTGCCTTGTTTAGATAGAATAAATACACTATTTGCAGATATGAATGTATCGGAACGGCGATTTATTGAAGGAAATACATGTTTTATTTGTCAAAAATTGCTGGCGGTTGAGAACCACTGAAAGGCGTTCGAGCACTGCAGTTGAGACAAGCTGCAGTTGCCACGGCGAAGCGCAGGCTGCACTTCTCCGAGGACGCCAATGGAGGGCTCTGACCTCTTCCCGGCAACTATCTACTTTTCGCTGCCTTAGGGTGTGTTCCTACTGCCATCTAAATTGCCTCCCTAATTAACGATCCTTTGTCGTGCTGACTTTGTCATTTAGAAATTCGCAAATCGTGTTACATAAAATCCCCGATTACCTTTTTATTCGAACACGGAATTTTGGTTTATTACTCGTGGCAAATCAAGAAACAAGACAGGACAATAAATTTGAAGAAAGTTGTCGTTACAAACACACACATATATGTGTGTATATATTGGTGTGCTAAATTGTCACATCGTAAATAACGTCGTTAACATGTAACATACACACCGATCATATAAAATTAAATAATATATATAGAATATATATTCAATATATATATTAGACATTTGTACATTTGTCACAATAAGACTGAGAGATTAAGACATATTACAGATAAGATTATTCTCCCTTTAAGATCATCGCAATTCTTAAAAATTCAAGAAAGTATATCATATAAATCACAAATATATTGTTAATATATAGAAATTGTTAATAACTCGTAAATATCTTCGTACAAAAATTTTTCATCACTTACATTCGTTGTTAACAGTCGATTCAGTAGCTGTAGCCATTGTTACCGTAACTGTATGTCACTGTAAAAGGATATCTTTCATTTTATAAACTTATTTGAAAGCCTACGTAGAATTTTTGATAAATATTTCGTAATTGTCTTCAGATTAACCTTTATATTGGTAATTCTCAATATAACATTTCGATCCACGAAGTTCATTTCAAACAAAGGAAGTATATAAGGAAGCTATGTGATACTCGTATATACATACATGTTGCAACTAAATTTTTCGAAATCGAAGATTTTATTCTTGTGAGAAGTAAGAATACACCTGAGAGACAATTATTATTCCTGCATTATTGTATTATTGTATTATCGTATTATTATTGCATGACAATGTCTTTGTACAAAAAGATAAGACATTATTGCAAATATTTGAAATTGTTTGTACAATGCAGTGACTAGCTTCACGAGTTAATATTCCCCTTTGTATTTTACGATAAATTTTCCCATGAATTTATTTATATGCGATCACAGAAAGTCAGAGTTACAATTACTTCTACGCATGATCGAGTTCAAAAAAACGTATTGCAATTATTGTAAATTAAATGTTGAAGATGTCAATTAGAGTTGTGTAAAAACAATGTCACTTTCTTTGTTTCGTATTAAACATTGAGCGTAAACGGGAATAAGCAATGGTTCTTTGTTTGAATCCGATAGCGTCTCTTTGTTATCACACAAACTTACCACCGCAAATTGAAAATAAATAACTTAACTTACCTATTCTTCTTTTAAAAGACGTAATTATTGATGATTAAAAGTTGATCCTGCGACAGGAACAATCACACACAGACTGGATAATGCTAGATCTGAGCAGTCGGTGGACTTGCTGGCAGCTTATATTGCGACGTAATGTTCCTGTATGTTTCAGCGATTCACACTGGCAGACGTTTAGCCACACATATGATACGTACATACGTTTTATCAAAGTATTCGAACGTTCGTGGATTCTTATTGGTCGAGCTAAGTGATCAGTTCGTCGAGATTGGTTCATTTGAATTTGAAACGTTAGTTGAATTGTACAGAATCTGTCACATGGATCCTTTACTACGCATTCGCAGTATTACTCTCATTGTTCAAGATGATCACTGTGAATATGCGTAAGTAAGGTAATCACCACTTTCTTAATAAATTCTATTCGTACTTGTGTTGAATTATAACCTATTTTGTCGAAAAATTATTATTTGTTATAAATACATAATTCGATAGTACCTCATATGAGTATTTTACGTATTTTAAGTTTATTATAAATATTGCAATTATCGCGATTCGCTTTAGGTAATTTTTGTGATCAATATATAAATTATAATAAATATATTTGTAACCTGGATATAGTAATAGTAGGAGCGTTTTAAAAATACACGCACTTGTATTTTTGTCTAAAATATGGTCACACAGTTTAAAAAAGATTCATTCTGGATGAATCATATGTCTAGAACTCCAACAACATGTGTACCAATGTGTGGGAAGTTGTGACCGTTGTGCGACCATAAGAACGTAAAAATCCGTTCCAAATATGGTCGAGTCGTTATAACTGGTTTCGATGATTTCGACGATGATCGAGAAAGCGTGATATACATATCCGTTAAAATTTTAACTAATCATTATTGTTTTTACTTTTGTTTGTTACTCTAAAATGTGAAAGTTTTATTTCAAAATCTTCGAAAATTAATTTTTTATGACAATTTTTTATATTATTAAAATTATTCAATTAACTATGCATTTCATTCTGCGGAATATTTAGCCAAGTATATAACTATATATGCTTCATATGTATTCTATTTTATAACTATAATAATAATTTTTCTAAAGCGAAGGTACATATTTCCTTGTATATAGTTATTTTTACATTACCAGGTCTCTTTAATATTGAACATATTTTTTAAATATATATTATCAAAGTATACGCCATAAAAAGTTATTAAAAATCATTAGAGAGAGATAATAATATTAAAGATCATTAATTTATATATGGAAAATAATACAATAATTGAAAAAATTGAGATATTTTATTTGGTACTTATATTTTTAATATTATCAATCTTTTATAATAAAATAAAATATAATGCCAAAATTGCATAAGCTTAAATTAATACATTAGTATCAAATTGATTATTATACAAATAAAACATATATTTATTTCTCAATTAGGGCAGTATCTATATTTTAATGTCATTGTATATCTGAATGATTTGATATATTTAAATACAAGTAGATATATTATATAGAATTAATTGTTTGAAAATATAATTGAGGTAGAATGTTATAAACATTACATACACATAAAAAAAATATGTTCTGTAATATATAATATCAGTTCTGCAAATTTCTCCTTTTCTCATGTTATATACGTTAAACACTTTTTGATTATGATTATAAATTCATTTAGAAAAATGTCTAGAAAAAGATTCTAGAAAAATTATACTGTACTACTAATAAAATTATAATTTGTACTACTAATAAATATTTAATATAGGAAATGCTCTGTGCCAATTGGCAGAAAATAAGGTCATACATATTTATAATTGAACTTTCCCTTCTCTATCAATAGAGTTTCAAATAAAAAATTATCCTAGCTATATATAAAGCATATTATTGCTTCAATTTTCATCATATAAGGGAATAACATCTCCACTTAGAGACATACTCTGGGGACTAGAATTTGTAAGTGGAATTCCACTAAGAGATTTATAAGACGGAGTACGAGCAGATGGCGTTCTGTTGCGTGGAATTGATTTCTCATTTTCTTGATTTTGTCATATTTTTTTAGATTCATCAGATCCGGGAATAGTATTACTAAAATTACTAAAATTACATTCAATTGTTTATCTTGATATCTAATGATTAAAAGTTACAATTATCATATTGACATATATCAATGATCTTAAACTTACAATTCTATCAAAGTAGACTGTTTTGATCGAGTCCATACTTCTGCAGCTTTTGTCCAGTTCATTGTATCAGAAGTATCAAAAATAAATCTGTGTGGTCTTGCAGTTCTACGTGAATTTGAATTCATTACTGGAGGAATCGGTTGTAAGAATGGTCCTTGAGAATAATTAGATGTTTGTAAATAGTAAGATGTATGATGTGGCATATGGTATGGAGTCATAAACGGAGTTTGATCAGAAGAAGTATAAGGCGTATTTTCATACATTTCATAGTTATTAAAACTGACAACTCCTGATGTGTATGATGGACAATGATGCGAAGTTTGATTTGCTTCTTTTGAAAGTGAATGTAGCATGTGGTGTGAAATATTTTGTGCTACTCTTTGTATGGTATTTGGATTTACTTCTGAAAAAAACAGGAGAAATAAATTAGTTCCAGAACTAAATTAATTCCAGTAAAATAAAAATTATTATATTGCTCAAATTTTTAATAATGAGACTTACCATTTATTCCTGAAACATTGTATAGTGTCTTAAAAGTTATAGTTTCATGTGGATCTAATTTAGTTGGTATAGGATCTCTAAAATGTTACTTGAACCAACGGAACAAATCGCTTACTCTGTTAAACATTTGATTTTTGAATCGGAATCCATCAGGTATTACAGTAACATACTCGTGACGACAATTATTTCGTGGTAAATATGAAAGTAAAAATTTTCCAAGATAATTCTAAAATATATAGCAAAAAAATTAGTTTCAATTAGCAACATAAACAAATACTGGATAAGTTTATATCTACCTACTTGCAGACACAATATATGGAATTCCACCAGGATTTTCCTTTTTTTGTTCTTTTAAAATTTCTTCTGCTTTGTGCTTAATGCCTTCTACTTTTGATTTATAATATTTAAAATCTAATAATTCCAAGACATAAGCAGTCATTGGATTAATGTATCTAGCGATAATTTCATCTAAATCTTCGAATTCTTGCTAATAAATCTGCTTTTTTCAACGTCTTTTCATTTTCTCTAAAACTATTTTTGCGCTTCAATAAATGCGGTAATTTTAAATGATCAGTACATTCTCCTTCTGGAGAAATTATGCAAGTAAAAGCGGCTTAAGATGGATCAGGTATATAAGCTAAACCCATCACGCAAATTCCTTTGTTAGTATCCCAATCTTCATCGTTTTCATCACGAAATTCACATGTATATGGTGCAATTTTTATCCAGTTGTACATTTACAACATGCTTTCATAATATATTCTTTTGCTTCTGCTAAAAGATCCAACCGCAACTCCTTTTTCAGTTGAGATATAATAATCTGATTGAAAGCTATTTTAACGCTACCAGTTCTTAGTGCATTCCAATCTTGAACACTTTTGCTAAATTCGTCCCTATAATACAATTGCTTTATTTCATCCATATAGTTATTGCTAATATTTCCTTCATATCACTAAATGAAAGTATAATTAGTTTATCTTCTACTGCTATAATTAGTTTTAAAAATTGATCACCGACAGGTTTATTTTTAAGATATTTTTTAAATTCCGTACAGATTTATTTTTAAGATATTTTAAACTATAAATAGCATGTTCCTCATCTATCACCTTCATTCCTTTTTTAGTCGGTTTTATAGATATTTTTGCTCTCTCCATATACATTTCTCTAATGCATTTACGAATTAATGATTTGTATGCTAATTGAATTGCAACCATTAATTGTACAGCTTTAAGTATTTCATCACTTGTCTTAAATAATACTGAATAAAAATCATTTGCTACTACTGCAGGTTCTGTTGGGTCTTGATCTATTTCATGACGTTGATTATTATCTCTAAGATTTTCAGCGAAATGTTCTGGAGAAAGACCAAATTTTTTAGCAAGTCCATCTAAGCCAGCTTTTTTACAAAGATAATAAGGACCTTTTCTAACTGGCTGCTTCAATGAGTCATCTACTTCTTCTTCTTCGTTATCTATCTCCGAAATTTCTTTAGCAGGATCTTCTCCATTTTCTTTAGCTTCTATAAATTGTTTTCTTCTTTCTAATTTAGCTTTTCTTCGTAGTTCTTTTTGCTTCTTACGTGTGTCTTCTTGGCTGCATGGCTGATACACTCTGATTGTAATACAACACAAAATGCTGATAAATATCATTTAACTCTTCGAAAGTCGTTCAATATCGTCTTTAATGACTCGTATATTGTCAGGTAATGAGGCATCTGGATTTTTCATAATTTCATTTATTTGGAAATTTCTCATCCTTTCAAACAGTTTCAATAAATTTTCTTTGTATTAATTGACACCATTTTTCATCGAATTTATAAATTTTCCATAAATCATTGATATTTAATTCTAAAATTAAAAACCTAAAATTAAAACTTAAAATTTTTTTAATTTTACCAACTGTTTGCGGTCCCTTTTTAGCTCTTTCCTTAGCTTCTTGATTCAGTTGAGCATCTTGTATTGAGACAGTTGGTTAATATAATAATTAATATTATATTAAATAATATATTAAATAATATAATATTATATTAAATAATATAATAATATATAATATATATTAAATAATATAATAAATAATATAATAATTAATATTATATTATTGATAATAGGTTAAAATTATTTCTAATCGGTACCTCATTATCCACATTGGTAAAATGACCATGTATAAGTTCACTAGGTTCGTACAATTCAAAGATACTTTTCTTTATGCTTCTTTTTTTAAAACTGACGCATCTTTAGGTTTTTTTCTCTTTTCAGTTATAGGTATTCCATCACCATCCACAATGAAATCATCCTCATCCTCACTTTTTTCCTCAAATTCTTCCATTTCATCAAATTCTTCCTCTTGGACTCACTTCATTGTTTTCCTCATCTTCCTATTTAGTAAAATAAGAATAATTTGTTTTAATTTAATAAATTATTAAATAAGACAAATATACATTTTATTCAAAAACTTACCTCTCCAGAACCTTGAAACAATTCATTAGCAATAGCATCTTTTTCATCATCTTTCCTTTTTCTTCTTCTTCTGATTTCTCATCTTCTCATTCTTCATCTTGTACGTAAACGCTTAAAACAATGTTTCTAAAAGGTAAAAATTATATTAAACAAGTTGTATTAAAATATCTTATATAAATTTTTTTTCATCTATATATACCCTTTCAACCTTATACCCTTTAATTCCTAAATTTTCTTCAAGTAGATCATAATCTTCATCTTCTACGATCATCAAAATCTTCATCACTTTTTTTACGTTTTCTAGAATCATCAGATTCTTCACTGTCTTCATCATTATCATCATTGATTGGATTATCATCAATAAGTCCCAAAACTTTTCCTTCGTTCTCTAAATATCACAAACATATATAATTGAAATGAAAATTTGCATAATATTAGTCTACATATTAATGATATGTAAATTTTTTATAATATCTAAAACAATAATGTACTTTCTAGAACCTCCAAATAATATTTAAAAAAAATCAAAATCTTTGAGGGAAATATTAAGCTTTATCGTACAAAATATTTTTATATACCATCATCCTCGTCGTCGTCGTCACTATCTTTCATCCTTAATTTTTTAAGTTTTTTCTTTTCATTAACATCAAGTTCTTCCTCCTAAGAAATCGTGAAACATCAGGTTATGTTTAACACGTGTACTCATTACTTTATTATCATACCTCACTTGCATGTTGCATACCTCACTTTCTTCTGCTTCGGCATCTAAATAATCAGCCATTTTCTATGGAAAATATAAGAACTTCTTGAAAAAGTGTGTAAAAATATTGATAACAAAAAATGATAAACAGAAGAAATGAAAAACAGAATCTACTCCAGAGCAGAAACTGTGATGTCTGTACAGCTGTTTGGCATCTACATATATAAAGGCGCGTTTACAAGGAAATTAAATATTCACCCAATCAGCTGATATACAACGAAGGTGATTCGTCAAGACTCTTCTTGTTTATATAACTGCAGTCAGTTAAAAGAAAGTGAATTGATCACCGTAGTATTTCCTTGATTCATTACTCGTGCATGCTTAAGTGATTTGTAAATTCCTCGATAGCGCGATAGTGTGCATAGAAACGAAAAAGGGTGAAAACATGGCGAAACAACGTGTGAAATGATTAGGATACACTATTGAAACAAATAATTACTCGATCGGGATGACAACTAATGAAGAATCCGTAGATGACAGTCTCTTAGAGAGATTCATCAATAATGATGAAGATAAGGTTGTAAATTGCCGGAGCAATGCAGATAACATTGAAGGGCATAAATTACGACATGGTACGGATAGTTTTCCGAATATTAATGAAAGACCGGTTGACGATATTTCGATTGAATTTTTCTACAAACCGCACAGCATTACATTGCTTCTCATTTCGATCGGTGCTGTAATATATTCCGCGTTCACAAGGTAATTAAATATTCAAATTTATCGTACTTGTTACTAAGTCATCGTACTATGCTATTGTAAATATCGGTATTAATTTAATGCAGGAATACTACCAATGTCGAGGACAACATTTGGGCTGGAATACTTTGTATTATATTTTTTTTTCTAATCATATCAATACTTACATTTCCAAATGGTCCATTTACGAGACCTCATCCTGTTATATGGAGATTGGTATTTGGTTGTAGTGTACTATATTTAATGGGTCTATTGTTTATGCTGTTTCAAGATTATGAAACAGTTAGAAAGATCTTCGTTTGGATAGACCCTCGTTTGGCGTCATTTCACATTGACATGGACAAAGAATACGGCGTTAATTGTTCAGAAATCACAGTTGAAAAAATATGGAATCATTTAGACATTTTTGCAGTAGCCCATTTCTTAGGGTGGACCTTTAAAGCAATTCTTATTCGCCACCTTGGTATTCTTTGGGCCATTAGTGTTATGTGGGAAGTAACCGAAATAGCATTTGCTCATTTACTACCAAATTTTGTGGAATGCTGGTGGGATGCTTTTATACTTGATGTCGTTGTCTGCAATGGTTTAGGTATTTGGGTTGGATTAAAAATTTGTTCTCTATTAGAAATGAGAGAATATAAATGGGTAAGCATCCTTGATATTGAAAGCACCACTGGAAAATTAAAGAGGGCAATGCTACAATTTACTCCTGGTAGTTGGACTGCTGTTAGATGGTTGGATCCAACTTGTACATATATGAGATTTGTTGCTCTATGTCAGTTGGTCATATTCTGGCAAGTTTCAGAGCTAAATACATTTTTCCTAAAACATGTATATGAATTTCCACCTTCTCATCCATTTGTTGTGGCAAGATTGGTATTAGTTGGAGTAATAGTTGCACCCTCTGTTAGGTAGGCAAATATAATTAAGTAGATGAGATCTGTATATTAATATATAAGATTTTATTGTAATAATTTATTATAGAAAAAACATTTTAATATAATTGTAGGCAATACTACATGTTTGTAACAGATCCAACATGTAGTAGAGTAGGGACTCAGTGTTGGGTCTATGGAGCAATTATGGTTACAGAAGCTTTGCTATGCATAAGGCATGGTGCTGCGTTATTTGAACGCACTCAAGCACTAAACATTCTTTTATGGTTACTTTGCCAGTCTCTAGTGTCAGTTCTTTGTGTCTATGGCTGTGTTCTATGGCATCGGTACTTTGAGGTATTTACTTTGAAAATTTGAAAAATTTCAAATTTTTGATTTTGTAACTAACTGTATGGTTATCTGTGTCCTTTTTTTCAATGTCTTTTGCATGGCTCTCATCTTTTCAGACAGAAAAGAAAGCTTCTTCAAAACAATGTATTACTCGATTAGACAACAGTCATCTGGATATAACCCCTAGCAGTGGTATGTGTGATGTTTACTACATTCCTTTGAATGTGTAAATAATATTTAAGCCAATAGTGTACTGGGCTATTGACATATATTGACAATTAACTGGCTACTAAATATTAAGCAAGAGTGTTATATAAATCATTTGCAATCTGTTACTTACTTGGATGATGTCAAAACCAAATAAATTTTGTCATGAATGCGTTTGTTTTTTTGTTTTCAGTATTAAAAAAATATGAATTTTTGTATATGTTCACACAAAAATATATACATAATAAATATATACATAATAATAAGATTTAAATATGATAAGATTTAAAAATGATTATACATATGAATGCATGAAAATATTTTATTTTTAAATTAATATATATGTTAATATATATTAATATGTAATTTATATAAATGTAAATTTGTTTGTCACAGCTCAGTCCATCATTGGTAGACAGAATATTGAATGAATGAATATTTGAAATAATTAATTTATGTTTTAGGGGACATGGTTCACTCTACAAAATCTATGGGTTTGCTGGAAAAAAAGCAATTGTGAACAGACCCGCAATAAAGAACATTCGATGTAAGAGTGAATTATTTACAATTTACACTGTCAACTTTTCTAGTCGCATTATAAAATCATATAAAGTCAAAATTTTGAATATAATAGGCTGTTGAATATATGATACCATCTGATTTTTACATACTGCGCTTGTTGCGTGTAAATATTATGAAGAGAAATGTTCCTGTGAGAATAAATGGAAAGCGTCGTTACCACGTTAATAACGCTTCTTTATAAAAAAAAAAAAATATATATATATATATATATATATGGTTGCTATATCATTTATGAATCGTAATTACGTAGTTACGTATATACATTCAAGATATGGAAATGCACTGCATACATAACTTGGCATTATCTGTGAACCTTCTGGACAATTCCAAGCTTCACCAAGAAGCCTATTATTAGATGCAGAAACAAAAATACGAATTCGACTTGGTAACTGTTCGTTTTCATACAGTGATATATATGATGACGTAAGTGATGACTTCGTACAGTACATCTACAAAAACCATGACAAGCTCTACTTATGGTAATTATTATAACGATTGTAATTTCATTTAAAATGCCAATGCCATAAATTTTATTGTAACAAGAGTACCTGAGCATAGATGAGGTAGAATAACTTATTGAAATCAAGGTCAAGCCAAGGAAGATAAAGCCACGATTCGCTTAATCTTAATTGAGCCAAAGTATCGTACGCTAATCTGAGTCCCATCGTTTCGGACAGACGTTCATTTAGGGTCAATTGCGAAATCTAAAACGCGTTTAAACGAAAAAGGAATCATTGCTTTTAAAATAACATACATGCCTGATCGAATGCTTCACATTGAAATAATATTTTTACATTATGACGGTTTATATAAAAAAAAAATAAATAAATAAATAAATATATGAATTTACCTTATAAAGCACGTTCTGTCCAGTAAATGATAATGTCATATTCATAGGATTTTTATAGAGAATATTTCGCTGATAGTCAATGTAATCCTTGAAATTCATATTTGTAGAATTATCATCGTTTAACGGAGTATTGGCATCGCGAGTCCCTTTCCAATAATATATACCTAACGATATGTATTAAAAAAAGTATGTTATTGAACATTTAGACGATAAGATTTTTTTTTTTTAGCCTTCTCCAAAATTTACTATTACAGATATGTAAACGTTGTTTGTGATTATATTATAAAATTACGTATTGTTAATTTACCATTTGCATCAAAATGATGAGCAATTTGGTGTGCTATTATAGTACCAAGTGTCGCTAATTTTATGTAGTTAAACAAAGGTTCACTGTACTTCATGGACCAGTCGATTACACCATACGGTATTACAACGAGGTTTAATCCGTAAATTGCAAGCCCTTTAGATTGATATGGCGTTGCATAATGTGTCCATCTATCATATTAACTCATACAGTTTAGCAACTTAAAAACATTTTATATACATATGTAGATCCAATTGTGAACTCACATTTGTTCAGGATACCCTGGATTTGTAAATAATTCTGCATATATTAATTTTCGATACCTTTGCAACAAAATCACCGAATTTTCAAAGTAATTGTTCGTCAGACTTATCTGAAATTGAGCGGTCGTTGAATTCAATAATTCAATCAATCCGATAATTTTTATAAATTAATTTCTTTCAATACGCACATCCGCCTATTATCTCAGTAGAAAGCGAAATGTCTTTTTTCGTACCTGGTTTGCTCTAACGTTTCTATAAGTTGATTTACTGTCTGTATAGTATGAAATATTCGGTACGGCAACTTTAAGATCATCTATTTTTGCAATCAGTTCGTCACGCCCTGCTTCTGTAGTCCATGTTACGTTCATGATTTTTAATTTTAGAGTCTCTTTAAGTATTTGAAACAGACTATGTATCTATTAAGTTGATATGATAGTGATTTAGTAAACTATCGTTCCGACGATACATGATAATAATTATTGTAAGCTTACAGTTTCATTCATGTATGTAAGTTGATCCTCTGTGAATGAAGAGATGTATAAGTTTGAAGCTTCCGGGATTAAAACGTCAACAGCTACGCGAAGACAGTGTTTCTTAACATCTGGATGTTTCGATATGACGAACTAGAAACAAAGGAAGAGAATAAATGAGAAAACACAAGACATAGAGAGAGGGATAAAATGAAAGAAGAAAGGAACGAGACAATTAAACAGGGAAAATTAAGTATACCTCTTGGTAAAGATTGCGTGCATACAATCCTAATAACGCGTTGTGTAACGGCATCGAATTTTCTTGTTTCCCAAACTTTTCCAGACTTTTCAACCCTTTTTCCAGAGCATCGTAAAAGTAAACCTGCACCTTTGTACCCGGCTCGACCAGTCCGTTCGTTAACAATAAAATTAATTGCGTCCAATTTACCTGCAAATAAATGACGGGAAACATA